CGAAACCCACGTCGTCGCCCAAGCCCACTGTTGCGCCGACAGACGCTCCCAGCGACAAGCCGACGTCCGCTCCGACCGCCCAGCCCAAGCCCACTTCGGGACCGACGCCCCCTGCGCCGACAACCAAGCCCACCAGCAGCCCCACGACCAAGCCCACCGCCAGTCCCACGACCAAGCCCACGTCCAAGCCCACGACCAAGCCCACGAACAAGCCCACGAACAAGCCGACGCCGACGTCCAAACCGTCGGGTGTTGTCAAGAAGCGCTGGGAACAGTGCGGTGGCAAAGACTACACGGGCAGTTCGCAATGCGCCGATGGCACTTCGTGCTTCAAGCAGGACGAGTGGTACTCGCAGTGTATTCCGTCGTCCAACAGCAAGAACAACTAAGTCGTAAAGCCTCTTTGTAATCCATATCATGTCTCTCCACGCCTTGTCGTTCGCTCATGCAGGCAGCACCTCATGTCCACCACTGATGCACGCGCGTCGAAACCGTCCGTTTCATAATCGCCAACCGGACAAGATCGGACGACATGCGATGGGATTGGTTGTCGAAAGGTCGCACAAACACACCGTAGCATGGGTGGGCGCAACTCGACCGCGCCCTCGACGGCGATGAGCCTCTCGTCCGGCATCAAAATCTCGCAGCGCAGCGGTCTCTCGGGGCGCATTTCGGCCAAGTCGCTCAACCTCTCGCGCTTCTACAGGTCGGAAAATGAGAAATTAACGCCAGCGGCCGATGGACACGAGCCCGATTGGAACGTTGTCTTCGAGGGTGAGCTCGCGACGCCGGACGAGTACCAGCACTATATGCCGGCCAACATGCCGCTCTGTCCGACGTACGAGACAACGTATCACGCCGAGTGCAGTCGCAGCTGGAAAATTCTCTGCAAAGGTGGCACCGCCAAGATGCGCGAGCTCAAGAAGGACGGCATCGTGCTCTTCTACGACGAGTTCTTTCATCGCCTCTTTCAGCGCGACCCGAGCTTTGGCGAAATCTTTCCGGGCATCCGCAAGCGCATTGAAGTGCTCATCAAGGCCATGAAATTTATGCTCGGAGACAAAAAATACCCCAACGACGTCGTCATGACCCGCTGTCGTAACCTTGGCTTCCGCCATCGCACGATCCCGCTCATTCGGCCGCACCACTTTTCCACGTACACGAGCACGATGCTCGAGGTCATCATGTACTGGCTCGACACGGAGGCGACACCCGACGTTGGCGAGGCGTGGGGACACCTCGTCGGCTTCCATCTCAAGTACCTCCTGCAAGCGTACTTGTACAACAACGTCAACTACGACGAGTGGAGCCAAAACACGACGACCCCGATCGAAAAATCCTCCGCAGAACGGAAAACGTCGACCAAGCACAAGAAGGCCTCGTCGAAATCCCATCGCTGAGGCATGTAGTTGCCATTTAATAATATGGTGGTCCTCCAACACCAGAATTTCACCGTGCACACCGCGGGCCATCGCGACGCGCAGGTTACGACAGTGCTATGTGCGAAACGACTTGTGCGTTGTAGCGTACACGCATTGCATCTCATATCTGGTTGGCGAAATGTCAACGTTGCGCCGAAAAGACTCTGTGGACGAGCGTTCGTCACACAGCTCGGCGTCGAGAATCGACGGAATAAATGCGCCGCGGGTTTCCGTGTACTCAGCCGTGCACTGTCCTACTTTTCGAGTGAGCCATCTAAAGTTCTATACGTGTTTCGTGGCCTGGCCGGAGTGTCAATGCACCGATTTAGCATCTTTCCTCATGACAGCGCATTGTTCCACCATAATGTTGGCGGGAATCAACGCACGCAATGTCTGTAGCATCGCAAAAATCGATCGGTTTCGTACACCGTCTGTCGCGAAACGCCCATCGTCCGAGGAGGCAGCGCAGTGTAGCATGGGGTCGCGCAGCTCGGTACACGCGACGGGGCCTGCGGTCGGCACTGTCTCGGCCACGTCGGGCTTTAGCGCGCGCATCAAGTCGATGGGCAGCAAAAGTCGTTCGGCCAACGGCACACTCGGTGCGACGACGCCGAGAACTACTGATGGCGCCAAGGACTGGAGCGCTCCCATCGAGCGACCGATTGCAAGCGCCGACGAGTACCAGCATTACATGCCGCCCAACATGCCAGTGTGTCCGCAGTTCCTCTCCATGTACCTCGCCGAGTGCAACCGGAGCTGGAAGATCATTTGCAAGGGCGCGAGCCCCAAGATGCGCGAGCTCAAGAAGGACGGCATTGTGCTCTTCTACGATGAGTTCTTTCACCGCCTCTTTCAGCGCGACCCGAGCTTCAACCAAGTTTTTCCCGGCATCCGCAAGCGCATTGAAATTCTCATTTTGGCCATGAAGTTCATGCTCGCCGACAAGGACCAGAGCCGCGAGACGGTCGTGACGCGCTGCCGCAACTTGGGCCACCGCCATCGCACGATTCCGCTGGTCCGGCCGCACCACTTTTCCACGTACACGAGCACGATGATAGAAGTCATGATGTACTGGCTCGACACGGAGGCGACGCCCGATGTCGGCGAAGCGTGGAGCAACCTCATTGGCTTTCATCTCAAGTACATGCTGCAAGCGTACTTGCACGACAACGTCGACGACCAAGAGTGGAGTCAAAACACCTCGGTCTCCGTCGTGCGACCGCGCGTGACGGTGGAGGCCAAAGCCAAGGCCAAGGCCAAGGCCCAACAACAAAACAAAGCGGCCAAGCCCAAAACCGGCTTCTCGCTCCTCTCCAAGACACTGCGAACGGAGCGCGAAGAGAGATAATCACGGCTAAATTAGAACGTCTTTTCATCTTGCGGTATCCACTGGATTTATGATTGTCTGTACGTACATTCGCAGCATGCGCGTGGTGCTCCTACTATAGTCGACGGGTTGTTTCGACTACGAAAGATCGCGCGTATCCGGATACCGAAATCGTATCCGGAGTGCGCCATCTCAAAAGCGATGGAGTCGGCCGCGTACAGCGAGGTCTACCGCCTCAAGTCCAACCACTCGGAGCTGCAGATGCACAAGCGGACGCTGGAGCGCCAGCTCGAGATCAAGAAGGACCAGCTCAAGGAGCTTCAGCGGGCGATTGCGGCGTGCGAGGCTGCCACGGACGACGCGTCGCCGCGCAAGCGCAGCAGCGCCAAGCAGCGCCTCGTCATGACCACATAGCACATCCACACGACACAAAGCTATGTATATAAGGTTGAACATGGACGGCGAGGTCGCTTCGATCGCGACGACGCTCTGTGGTGCCAGCTATCGACTACATCATCGGCGGCGGCGCTTGGTTGTCGTCGGTCGGCAGCGGA